CCTCGAGTGGTGCCTTACATTCTAGCTTACCTGTGGTTTTTCTTTTTCCAGCACAGGAGACAGATGAGAGAGAAAGATGAGACATTTGACTCCGGTAAAAAGTTACAGACTCAGAACCCCACAAGGCAGTTGTGCCCTGTCCGCCAGGGTGTCTGCGTCGGAATCCGCTCCAGAACAGTGAGTTTGGTTTTTTGAGTTTAAAAAAAACCAAACAATTTCACCCCAAAGTTTGGTTCTTTGTTCTTCCTTGATGCAAGAGTACCATTAACTTAACTTTGGAAAAAGTTGCAGCTTCTAAGAATCAAGTAAACTAGAACATTGTTCTCGGGTTGACATATCTTTCTTCAAATTCGTTTCTTCTTTTTTTTTTTGTATCTTCTTGTATTGTGTATAGCTTATTTTTTTAAATCATTTTATTGGGGGCTCATACAACTCTTATCAAAATCCATACATACATCAATTGTAGAAAGCATATTTGTACATTCATTACCCTCATCATTCTCAAAACATTTGCTCTCCACTTAAGCCCCTGGCATCAGCTCCTCATTTTTCCCCTCCCTCATGAACCCTTGATAATTTATAAATTATTATTTTGGCATATCTTACACTGTCTGACATCTCCCTTCACCCACTTTTCTGTTGTCCGTTCCCCAGGGAGGAGGTTATATGTAGATCCTTGTAATCGGTTCCCCCTTCCTACCCCACCCTCCAGGTTATCGGCACTCTCACCACTGGTCTTAAAGCGATCATCCGTCCTGGATTCCCTGTGTTTCTAGTTCCTATCTGTACCAGTGTACATCCTCTGGTCTAGCCAGATTTGTAAGGAAGGATTGGGATCATGATAGTGGGTGGGGAGGAAGCATTTAGGAACTAGAGGAAAGTTGTATGTTTCATCGTTGCTACACTGCACCCTGACTGGCTCTTCTCTTCCCTGCGACCCTTCCGTAAGGGATCTTAATTCTTATATCATGTATATCTTGATTGTGGTGATGCCATGAGTTACTTAATATGCCCCTGTTAGCTATGGTCTTTGTAACTCTCACCGAAAGACTGGTGGGGCTATGCTCATGTGAGGTGCCTCTGGTTCACCGAGGACATTGGATGGCTTGCTGATCATGTAAATAAGGTGCATGGCACACTTTGGGAGGTGGGGTGATACAAATAAAGTCTATGGAGCCCAACCATGGGAATTGGTTGATCCTGCAATCCCATTAGGTTTAACCTGAGCCATCCCACAGGCAGAAAGGGGAATGGATCTCACTACCACCAAGAGGAGCTGGGAGCATAGTGCATCCTTTGGACACAGACAGAGAGCGCAAGGGCTGCCACAGTGATATGAGCGATGGCTAGAAACAGTGGCAGGAAGACCATGGCAGCGGAACCAGAAGGCCTGCAGGAGGCTGGCCAGAGACGCCATCATGGGCAGCTAGAGGAAGCTGAGCACCTTTGAGCAGGAGGGAGGCAGGTGGAGAGCGCTCCCTCTGGGCATCTGCTGACTCACAGAGCTAGAGCTGAGTGCTTTGGGGTCAAGGCTTACTGGCAGAATGGGGTACCTCTGGGCACTTATTGGCAAGCTAAAGACCTTTGTAACAGTTGCCAGAGTATGGCAGAGGTCAAGAGGCTGGCTGCAGAGAGTCAGGCCTGCAGCACTGCTGAGGAGATGCTGTCCTGACCGAGAATAATATCCCGAGTCTTTGCCAGTCCTGAATTGTAACTTGTTACTGCCTCATAGACTCTGTAACCATATTGTCTGCGAGTTCTATGCGGCCATTGATTGAATTATTGCTGGATCGATTGCGACACCTGGCCATTGACCAACCTGTAGATGGGACTTGAATGTGTCCTGGGTACAAGTATTTCTTACTGGTTCCATGACAGAAATTTCTCCCCTGGCTTTTTGATTGTTGTTGGGGAGTTTCTCTTTCTTATGCATTATCAATATATTTTTGTCCATCCTTACCACCTTAGCGCAATTTTTTTGTTTTCTATTGGGTCTCTCAGCTGTGAAGCACGGGACGTATGGGTGCATAATGATAATAATGGATACAAGGGATATAGGGAATACAGGGGTGTGGGGAGTGGATAGGGAGGGAAGGGATTTTGGGAGGAGTTAATGAAGACAGGAGGGGGGAGGGAGTATTAGAACGGATTTTGACTGCATAAATCATCTTAAAGGTGATTTAACTATGGGGGGGGATAATCTAAAATTGATGTGGGGTAATTGTACAATTCCCCGTGATATGACTGAATGATTGAACTATTGAATTATATGATATGTAAATTATCTGCCAATAAATTTTTTTTTGGGGGGGGAGAACAAAGCAAAATAAATAAATTAAATTAAATGCATTATTGAATCCTACAGAGAAGTAGAAAGGGCTGTGGAAGGGTGGTTGGTATGAAATTGCTAGGTTCAAGATTGGAGTTATCCACGTCTGAAGTTAAGAGATCAGATCCTAAATGAGGGGCTCTAACAGTGTAGTATTTATATGCTGGGCTGCTAACCTCAAGGACACTGGCTGGAAACCAGTGGCTGCATCAAGGGGGTAAAGATGGGGCTTTCTATTCCTGAAGAGTTAACAGTCTCGGACCCTCACAGGGGCAGCTCTACCCTGTCCTATAAGGTTGCTATGAGGCGGGATCGAGTTGATGGCAGTGTTTGATTTTCTCTACAAATAGGACGATGCAGCCACCTGTGCAGACAGGAGGCACCCTATAGGGAGAAGGTCCTGAGCTTGGTCCATTGCTTGGCTGTCCCATCTTAGACTTTGTCCTATTTTTTGAACAAGGGGTCTCACATGTATGTATTTCATCCTCTCTCACAGATGAGGCAACCAGACCGGGAGCAGAAACGGGGTTGGTGCCCTGCTCTTGTCTGGAGCTGTCTCTCCTGAGCTGTGAAATGAGGTCCTGGGGGGGAGGGCTTTGGCTTTGATGCAGGCCTTTTTCCAGCTCTAGGTTCTAGAATCAATGATCTCATTGGAGAGATTCTGAGCGGTATGGCATTCCCATCTATTTACAACCCCGTGGAATTCCACTGCTTTTCGGCTCCCCGGAGCACCCAGTGTCTGAAGTACGACAGGCAAGAACGGAGGGGTTACCACCGGACCAATGAAGCGAGACCCAGGCATGTCTCCTCCGTTCAGTGACCGCAGGACCCAGTGCCGTTGGGAGGAGCACACAAAAGCGTGTGTACCAAGCGCTAGGAACACGGCCCTGGAAAGATGGCTGCATTCTTAGGGGGATGCAAGGCCTGGGCGTGACGGCAAGCTGTGCCTCAGCCGCGGTCCCATCTCCAAACTCAGTGACATGTATTGAACGCCTGTTCTATGCCAGGCACACAAGGACAAACCTGCTGTGGTTTAAAGAACATTGCACTCAATTCTATAATCCTTCGGTCCTGGGTTGTTAAAAATACAATTCCTTCCCCAAGTGGCGATCCTCTGGAGGAAGATCAACCCACTTTCCCTGGGAGGAAAACGGAGGCTCAGAGAAGCAAAGTTACTTGGCCAAAGTCACACACCTAGCTAGTAGAGCCAGGATTTTGACCTGTTGTCTGTGGGGCCCCAAGCGGTGCCTTTGCCCTAGTGTCTGTGACTCTCTATGGTTCTAGGCTCTGGGGTTCCAGGAGGGAGTACGGCTGAGTGAGGGTCGTCTGTTTGGGGGTGCCCTTTCAAACTGTGCAGGCCCACTTTGGCCTCGCTCCAGTTGTCCTTCGGACCTGGGGTATTTGGCCAAGGTGATCTCGAGGTAGTGCTGCAGGCTGGAAGCCTCTGGTTCTCAAGGCCCCAAGCCCCGGCTCTCACCTGTGCCCATCCGATGACCCCTCCCCACATCCCGGGGCACCCATGCACTTGGAAGACTATCACCACCCCATGTGGCAGATTTAGACAAGTTCCTGGTCCACAGCTCATGTTGCTAAGAGCCTATCTTTAAGACCTCTATGTTCTCTGACTCCCCCCCCTCCCACTGTAGTCTCTCCCTAACTGACCAGAGGGCACCAGCTTCAAGTTAGCAGTGTGCTCACGGGCACTGCTGAGTACTGCCCTCATCAGGAGGCCCGGAGGCCTGAGTGTCAAGGTGGGCAAGCTCCTATCTGATGATGCTTGAAAGTTCTGGTGACTGCTCACTGGCGAGCCCTTCAAAGCATCCGCTGTTTGTCCAGGCCCACCCACTCTTCTCACCAGTGCAGGCGAGCCACCTCTAGGAAGCGTCCCAACCCTCCACAGGGCAGCCAGTGCCCTCTGCTGCTTAGTTAGGTGTCTTGTAGATGTCCTCTCCACCCACCTGGGATCTTGAGTCTTCCTGGGGACGACACTGGAGCGGATTCAGCTTCCTGCCCAGCGCAGCACTGGGCAAGCAAGTGCCAGCCATGGAAGACAATGGGTAAGAGGTATTTCTGTAGAGAGGGCCTATGTGCTGACAGTGAGCATGCAGACATGGGTCCACAGCAGGAAGTCCAAACGCTGTGGAGGGTTGGGACGCCAAGATAGGGAGGGAGCAGAGAGAGGGCACTGGCATGGCCACAGGCAGGCACTGGGTCTAGTAGGATGGGGAAGAGTTTGAGAGGCAGGGATGGTCTAAGGGTCCCGCCCAGCAACAGCCTGAGGACATGGGCACAGAAGAGTCCAGGGGCTGGAAAATTCACTACAGCTGGATGGGGCTGGGTGGATGGCAGGGAGGATGGTGGGCAGGGTGCAGGTCTAGTTCAATGTCCCCTCACTGCTCAGCTCCTGGGAGGCTATTGGGCTTTTCAGAGAGAAGAGGCAGCCCAGGAGCTCTTGTGATGGAGAGGGTTACTTGTTGGGCTGCAAACCACAACCCCTGAGGTTCAAACCCACCAGTGGTTCTATAGGCGAGAGATGAGGCTTTCTGTTCCCATGAAGACTGACAGCCGTGGAACCCCACTGACTTGATGGCAGTGGATTTGTGTTGAGTGACCCCAGTCATCCTTGCGGCCTAGGGACTGTCAATGAACCCTGTTTAAATGACAGGAGGAGAACTCTTTACAGTGTTTATTAAACCAAGGACCAGTCAGGTACTGAGTGAGGCTGATGGGGGAGGCTGGAAGCACCTCTGTGCCTGAAGGCCCACTCCCCCAGCACACACTGTCACCAAGGGAACCCATGCCACTTGTTCTTCTCTGACAAATGGCAGGTCATCCCGTCCCCTGCCAGCAGGGGTAGGGGCAAATGGGGTTAGGGTTGAAGGACTGTTATCAAATGAAGACAAGGGACAGAGCCCAGGGCTGGGAAGCTGAGATGCCACCCTGGGGCTGGGCATACGGAGAGTGGTGGACACCCTGCTTCCTACTGCTGTGTTCTCAGGAGAGGGGGCGCTCAGGGAGCCCTGGGGGTTGAAGCCAGGTGTCCCCTGGGAGTTTGAGTGGCTACCTGGGCTCCAAGATGCCGCCAGTTCCACAATGGAGCATCTAGAAGGAGGACCTTAAAGGTCAGTGGGCACATTTCCAGTTTTGATGCTGGGGGGCCCCATCCTCGAGGAGGAACTGGCTTAGCCCGCTGCCCAGATCTGGTCAGTGTGCCCAGAGTGACCCTCTCCCCTGAGGCCCTTGCCTGTCCTCCTGCTGCTGCTCCTAAGGATGGCACGAAGGGGCAGACACACTAGGATGTGGATCCTGGCAGCCAGGGGAGGTGCAGGCAGGGGAAGCCGGGCAGAGAAGACAGAAAGTGCAAAGGACCCTAACTGGGAGGCAGGAGACTGGATTGCAGTCATGACTCTGCCCCCAAAGGGCCAGTTTCCCCAGCTCTGACTTGACGAGCGAGGGTGAACTTGATTTCCCCTCCAGGCCCTTCTCTAAGGTTCTATTGGGGGTTTCAGGGAAGGAGGAAACACTGGCGTGGGCCCCCTGGGCCAGACCCATGAGGGCAGCTGTGTCATGAGAGAAACTCACACCCCTGAGGGTCGGGCTGTGGCCCGGGGGGCGCTCTACCCCTGGAACTGAATCTCTGCCCAGGCTCCTCTCAGCCTCTCGTCGTAAGTCGTAGGTCGGGCCAGCCGAAGCCCGAGGGAAGGCACTTTGGGGACACGTGGGGAAGGGCAGCAGGAGGGGACCAGGGTCTGGTTTGGCATTGAAGTCCCTCTGCTCATGGGTTGGGGGACTCGGGGGCACAGAGACAAAGGGGCAAGACTAGCCCCCAGGGTGTCGGCCCTGGGGCCAGAGCCTCTCCCTCAGTCCCCAGATCCTGCAGTGAGGCAGCCATCTGGCTGAAAAGCCCCTGCTGGCATGTGGCAATATAAATTACCCAGGGCCCACGCAAGCACAGGGCGGCAGTCTGCTACGTGGTCCCAGGCCACACCTCTCGTCACAAAGCTTCGGAGTTCCTGGGTGTGGACCCCATGCAGTGCAGGGCCACCCTAGGGCTGGAGCCAGGCTGCCGGGGGTAGGCACCCTCCCGCACCAGGCGCCGGCACCGCACGTCTTGGCCCACGCTGAGGTGCTGCAGCGCTGGGAGGTGGGGCAGCAGCATCTCAGGCAGGAGCACGAGGCCTGTGCCCGACAGGTCCAGCTCCTGCAGGGAGTCCAGGCCTGCGAACACCTCAGCTCCTGCCCACTGGAGCTTGGGGTTGCCCGAAAGGTCCAGGACCTGCAGGCCAGACAGCTCTTGGAACCCGTAAGGCGCCAGCTGGGGGAGACCTTGCAGGCTGCCCAGTGACAGGTGTGTAAGGTCGGCCAGGCCTGGGAAGGCACCTGGGCCAATGGTAGCCAGTGGGTTCCCGTCCAGGCTGAGGTAGCTCAGGGGCAAGTCTCGGAGATCGGGCACGGTGCGGAGCCGGTTCCAGGCCAGGTTCAGGCTCTGGATGGCAGGCGCGGGCAAGCTGGATCGTGGCGGGCAGGGCTCGAGGCGGTGAATGAGGTTGTGGGAAAGGTCCACGTGCAAGGCCCGGCCCTGGCTGTGTGTCCTGAAGGCAGACACGGAGACCTCCCGGAGCCGGTTGTAACTGAGGTTCAAGTCGCTCAGGGGCGAGCTGGCGAAGCTCTCGGCGGGCAGGGCTGCCAGGCCGTTATGGCTGAGGTCCAGGGACTCCAGGTAGCGCAGGCGAGAGAAGGCAGTCGGGGAAATGCTGGTCAGCAGGTTGTAGCTGAGATCCAGCCCGGCCAGCGTCGTGTAGCCTGGCCCGGCCAGCACCGACTCGTTCACCACCTCCAGCCGGTTGGAGGACAGGTCCAGGTGGGCTGTGTCCAGTGGGATGGGCACGGGCATGATGTGGGGGCCGAGGCCGCTGCAATCCACCTGGGTCAGGCTGAAGCTGTCAAAGAGGCCAAAGGTCTCCACCTCACATTGGCACCCCGGGAAGCAGGGCCGCGTCGTCTGGGCCCCGGTCATGACCAGCAGCAGCAGCACCAGCAGCAGCAGGGGCCACGACATGATGGGGGCTAGAAGCAGACAAGCACAGGTGAGGGATGGCAGCAGGCACCTCCTACGAGAGGCTTTGAGCTCCATCATATACGACGGGGCCCATCGCACCATTTCCCTCCCGCCTGGGAGGCTTCCCCTGAGTACGCCTTATCAAGCCCTCCTGATCCTCCGACCTCAGTCTCCCCAGCTGCACGGCAGGGTCTAGACTAGAAGGATGGATTTCAACAGAAAGCAGCAGCACCCTTTCATAAAGATCTGAAGATGAAGGGAATGGGGTGGAGGCCTGGCATCCCCAGGTGGGGCCTGGCTCCAGACCAGCCCTCAAGTCTGGGAAGTGCAGTAGTTCAGCGCTGGCCCCTCTCTGAGCATGGACGCCTGCTGGCTAGCTGATAACTGCCCTGATTGGCCGAACTTTCTAGCTCTGTTTCAGAGGCAACCTAAAACTCAAGTGAGGATAAGAAACGTACGCACAGCTACAAATGGTGCTCCTGTCGCCCAGGTCCACTGCCCTGGTCTGGAAGTCCACAGGCTCGGGCGGCCTCATTTGGCCTGTGCCCCCCAGGTAGGAGCTGTACCCTATGGAGTTGGGTCTGCGGTGTCTAGGCTCCCAAGGGGGGCTTTGAAGCCATAGCCCTCCCCCCCGAGAGGGCACAGCAATGGCACCTCTTTGGCCCCCCTATACCCAGAGCAGGCACTTGGCCTGGCTCCATCAAACTCACAGGGCCTTCACGTGTGTCACAGCACAACTGTGTGCTTCATAAGGTTCTCCGGGGGTGAATGTTTGGATGTTGTCACCAGCCCTTTCTTCCTCACTACCTTTGGGCAGATTTGAATGTCCATCCTTTTAGTTAACACCCAAATGATGAACGGTGTGTGCCTCCTTCCCCATTATACAGGTGAAGAAGCAGAGTTTCTGGGGGCCCCCTGGCCCCCACAGTGGCCACTCAGCCAGGAATATGGGAAGGCCACTGCTCCCTGACCCCACTGTCCCACTCCTTGCACCATTTCTCCCACTGGCCTCCAGGGATGGGTTGGGGAGGGTGGTGTGCAGGTGGCAGCAGCTGAGAAACAAGGCAGGGACCTGTGTACCTTCCACACTGGGAGTGGAAGGGGAGGTGGAGACGAGGCAGGATAGTATTACCAGACTTACATAAAACTTTAAAGGGGCAGCCACTTGATCCGCCCTCTGCCCAGGGGCAGGGAGAATCAGGGCTTCTCCCCCATGTGGGCCCCCAATCTCCCACCCCTTTCTTTTGTAGAGGATTAAATCCAGCCCAGGTGCATCCTGGGCTTGGTCCCAGCTGAGGCCGGACAGACGGTTCCAATGTTGGGAACCAAAAGGAGCGGATTAAGTTGCTTCAGGCCACCTTTGTTCCCAGGGGAGAGTTTCACGGCAGGGTTCATTACCACCAAGGGCCCCTCCTTCCCTGCTGAGCCAATTTGCTCATACTTCCCTTCCTGGGGTTTAAACAAACACCCATAAAGGCCCCTCGAGACGCTGCTTGGGTTCCCACGAGGTGGTCATACAATGTGTCCATTACATGCCAAGGGGCCCCTTAGGAGCTCCTGCTTATGTAACCGGCTGCCCAGCCCAGCCCAAGTGCTGTTCCTCCGGGGACAGGGCCTCTCGCCACCCTTGACAGGCCTTGTCCTTGTCCACTGTAACTAAGGGTTGTCACGCGGCCCTGCCCTCCTCACACGTCCATTCACCCCTCCGGTACCAAAATGCACAGAGGACACCCCCACGAGGCTGCAGGGATGTGACAGCTGACATGCAGAGGGTGCAGGCCCTTGGATGGCCAGCTTGCACATGGTCCCAAGGCAGGCTGGCTGAGGGCCTGGCCTGTGCTTGGTGGGAAACGCGAGGGGACCCAGTCCTAGCCAGTCCCACTACCGGTTAGTGCTGGGCCGAGGTTCTCATCCGATCCTCCTGGTAACCCTGTGAGGTCAGCAGGGCCAGGAACGGGCCCTCAGCACGGGCTCAGAGCGTTGTGTTGCTGCCAGCAGAGACATAAGCACCCAGAGACCTGCTGGGAAGATGAGATTTCCTGAGGTCACAAAGGAGACCAGGGGCCTTTCCTGGGGCATCCAACTGGCTGATGGCTGCTTCCTCCACCTCCAGACCTGTCAGCCAGGAAACCCTCCACCAGGCGTTCAACGCTCTAGACCAGGGGTTCTCAACCTGTGGGTCGTGACCTCTTTGGGGGGTGGACCGACCCTTTCACAGCGGTCGCCTGATTCATAACAGTAGCAAAATGACAGCGATGAAGTACCGATGAAAATAACTTGATGGTTGGGGGGCCACCACAACAAGAGGCACCGTGAAAGGGTCGCGGCTTGAGGAAGGTTGAGAACCACTGCTCTAGACTGAGACGTGGGTGAAGGCAGAGGGTGGAGCACAGTCTTTGTTGGGTGATTCCTCAGGCACAGCCCTGAGGGCCAATGTCGCACATCAGCTTCAGAGGAAAGCCTTCCCCGGGACAATTCTACGCTGGGCACTTCTCTGAGACCTCTTTGTGAGCAGCTCATCCACCAGGTCCGCAGAGACGCTGCAGTCTGGCACTTCTGCTCCAAGACCCTTTCAGGACAAGCTCTAGGTGCAAGGGGAGGGCAGAATTTTCCCAAGAGGAGCCCGAGGGAAGAGCAAGGACCCTGATTCCCCCAGGGCGATAGCCTTTCTAGTTTACCAGGAGCCCCTGCTCAATTGATGCTGCAAGGAACTCAGATGAGCTACGAGCCCTGAGGACCCGTTAGGAGAATTTGCAGATCCTCAGTGAGGCAGGGCTGACCTCTGGCCCAGCTGCCCCCACCCCCCACCCCACTCACGAGGACCACTTAATTCTTCTAGGGAGCCCAGGGACATGTTCAGAAGTATCTGCAACGACTTGGGGAAGGCTGAGGCCATGTCAGGTAAAACTCACAGCCATCGAGAGGTCAGTGATGCTACAGGACAGGGCAACGCTGCCCCCAACGGTTTACAAGGTGAGACTGTTGACAGGTATAGAAAGCCTTTTCTTTCTCCTGGGGAGCGGCTGGTGGTTTCAAACTGCTGACCTTGTGGTTAGTAGCCCAACATGACCACTACACTATTGGGGCTCCTTAATGCTACTTAGTAGAGGATACATTTTAAGTCTAAGAAAAGTGTAACTGTGTATTTTTTAAATCCTAATTTTAGAAAGTCTATGTAAGGAGCCCTGGTGGCGTCATGGGTTAAGGGTTGGGCTGCTCATCCCAAGGTCAGCAGTTTGAACCCACTAGCTGCTCCGAGGGAGAAAGAGGAGGCTTTCAGCTTCCATAAAGATACCTCGGAAGCACACATGGGCAGTTCTACCCTGAGATGAGTCAGAATTGACTGGAGGGTAGTGCGTTTGGATTTCTGGTGTATGCAACTCTATCAATATCATCGCGGGCGTACATTGAGTGACTTAAATGTATCTTAGTTTACTCCTACCCCCGATTTCCTCTCTTATTGTATAAACTATAAAACACACAGAGTAAGTAACAAAGGGCCCTAGCAGGACTGCTTTGCTGGTTACACGGTCCCCTTATGTGTAAGGTGCAGGTACTAACATTCACCTCCCGGGACTGTTGTGAAGATGAAAGGAGATGTGAGAAAGTGCTAGAAGCGAGGGAAGGGCTCAGACAGGACACAGGTGGGGGTGGGAGTCAGTGGTGGACTTGACCTGACCCCCCCCACACACATACACACACTTCCTCCTTCCTTCAGCAGACACAGGTCTCCAGTGCCCAACCCCCTTATCGACAGCACCCTCCTGGAGGGCAGTTATTGCCTCGAAGGCCGCAGAGCGATGTGTTTCTCAACAGGCCGCTGGCTCGGAGGCCGGAAGGAGTACTGCCAGAGTTCCTCTGGACAAACCACCAGCCTCAGCTCCAGGAGACAGAGGGCCTTCCCAGAGAGCCACGCCTCCAACACTATCTTGACGCAGGACTGGACAAGCCACGCCACCTCTCTGCAGCAGCTCCTTGGCTGTAAATCTGGGAAGGCAAGGCTGGCCCTGCCCCCCGAGAGCATGGCTATGCAGATCAGCCTGAGCAAAGCCAGGCGCCCCTAGAGAGACACAGGCTGGCCAAGGGGTGGGACTGACTCTACTGACTTCTCTCCCCAACGCAGACATGATGACTCACTCAGGCGGGACACACTTCCCTTTGCCTCTGGAGGGCCCCCAGACGTCTTCTCAACAGGAAGCCTGGCATCATCAAGCCAGCTGGCCCTCCAGATGATAGCTGTCTGTCCTTGCAGAATCACTTTCCTTTCTGATCTGGAGGAGGGACAGTGCCCGGTGCAGCACAGTGTGAGCTGCCTCTTTCAGCCCTGGCTCCTCCGTCTCAGAGCGGCAGCCCCTCCCCCAAGGCGGGGAGGAGGGGGGAGCACATGCATCAAATGCCCAGCAAGGAGCCAGGCCCCTGGCAGATGTGCCCAGGCCACCCACACTGCAGAGAGCTTTCAAGGACCACCCCCACCCTCACCTCTTTACAGGGTGTTGGAGGCAGGGACAGGGTAACTAGGCTTCCATGAGACAAGTCCCAGGGCACAGCGAGGAGCCCTGGGTCGTAGGCTCTGCCCTGCCATGGGCTGTTGAAATCGTTGGACGTGAGTCTTAGTTTGCTCAGCCTCATTTCGGGGGACTTAGTCTAGAGAATACAGCTCCGGCGGTGGCAGTTCTTAATGTTTCCCCAAAGCATTTACTCTACCCCGGCCAAGCGCTACGCACTATGCCAAGCCAAGCTGGGGGGCGGGGGGGAGGGGCCACACAGAACATCACTATGCTTGACATAACCTTGAAGCCGGGAGATGAGGCTTCTAGTCCCAGCTCAGCCACTAGCTGTGTGATCTCTGGAGCTTTCTTTCTTTCTTGGAGCCTCCATCTTCCCTTCTGTAAACTGGGAGTATTACTGGCTCTCCCTGAGAGCCTCACTATATCTGTGTGGGAGCACAGTATGGGGGGACCTGCCCTGAGGAGGGACTGGGGAAGGCAGGCAGGTGCCACCAAAGACATCTCCCGGAGAAAGGATCTCTGGGTTGGGGTGCATCACTTCTCCAAACTCCAACCTGCAGACAGGAGAGGTTACAAACTGTAGACACCCTGATTTGGGGGTGACTAAACTCAAGGAGCCCCGATGGTGCTGTGCTCTGTGCTCTGGGTTACTAAAGTCAAGGTCAGCAGTTCGAACCCACCAGCCAGAGGTTCGGGGGATAACGATGAGGCAGTCTGCTCATGTAAAGGTTCACAGGCTCAGAGACCCACAGGGGCAGTTCTACTCTGTCCTCTAGGGTTTCCGTGCGTCAGAACCGACTGGATGGCAGTTTGGGCATAAGGTCCTTCAGGGAAGGGGCCATGAGTTACGTCATTGCTGGGCCCACAGGATCAGGTCCGTGGTGGAAACCTCTGGAGCAATGGTTCTCAACCTTCCTGATGCTGCAACCCTTCCCATACAGTGCCTCATGCTGTGGTGACCCCCCAACCATAAAATTATTTTTGTTGCTACTTCATAACTGTCATCCTGCTACTGAAATGAATCAGGCAACCCCTGTGAAAGGTCATTCGACCTCCAAAGGGGTTGAGACACAAGTTGAGAACCGCTGCTCTGGAGGAAGTTTTGCGGACAGCTGGAAGGGACAAGAGTGAATAGATGGTGTGATGACAATAGGCCCCAGGCAGGTGTCCCTGAGTCAGCCCCGGCCGGCAGTGACCGTCCTCTCTAAAACAGCTTTGGCTGCATGCTCTCATCACTAATAAGCCTCTTGGGCTCTACGTGTACCCGTGGAAAGCAGTTTCGACCTGGCAGAGACCAGCTAGAACTACAAGGGGTTCCCATCCTTGTTCTCCACCCTCCCCTACTATGTCCCTCAAAGGGGTTGGGCTGAAATAACTCAGCCACTGCTGATACTTCCCAGAAACTCGGGGCTCAGCAGCTGGGAGGGGCCTCGGGGATCCTGGGTAAGGGTGGTCCAGTCGACCGGGACAGTGATGGGAAGTGGCAGGGCAGGAGAAGCCGTTGGTCCCGACGCACCAGTGCTGCCAGCAAGACAAAGCCCACCATGCACTCAGGCTCCTGAACCCCCCCCATCCCCCTCGACACCCACACTTCTCACACCACACGCTCTGCACCTCCGGACAGCGGTGAGTCAATCCTCTGCCATGAGCTATTTGCTCGCTTCCTAGTTTAATACCTGGGGGGTGGGGAGCCGGGAGCTCGCCTTCATCATCTGGGCATCCTGTCCCCTACCTGGGGCCAGAGCTAGGCCCACCAGACAGAGCCCCCAGTAAAAGTATTAAACAAAAAAGAATCTAACACTGGTCTCAACCCAGGTGTGGCTCCAGCTCTGTCCCCTCCTAGTCTCGGGCAAGTCTCAGTCCTCCTGAGGCTCAGTTTTGAAGGCTTCCGCTCAGTATCTACCACATGGGAAGTGCTGGCTCTCGGGAGGCAGTGCCAGCCATCATTCACTAAGCTTGCTCCCAGATCTCCTCCACCCACAGGCCAGCCACCCAGAGGGACTGGGACTGTGCGGACAGCCTTCAGTCACTGTCCACACCTCTCTGGGGTTAGGGGCTCCAGCTTAGACCCTCCTGGCCCCAGCTACCGCCCACAGGATATGCCCACTCCCACCGGAGCAGGGAGCCACAGGCACAGGAACCCAGCAGGCAGGCGGGAGGCTGAGTCTGGCCTGCATGGAGGTCCTAGCGCCCCACCCTTTTCTGACTCTCAACCCCGTGCTGTCTCTGCTCCCCTTCATGATCTCACTGAAGCTGACGCCATCCAAATCCCAGGTGGGAATTTCATAAACGTCCCTGCCGTCCAGCCACTCGGGCGGAAAGGATGCAGGGTCCACTTCCAGAGGCTGGAGGCGGCTCTCCCAATGCTATCGCTAACTGCACGGCAGTACAAACCCACAGCTCACCACACACTTGCACGGCCTCTGGTCTCCACTTCCGTCTAGCCCTGATGTGTGTGCGTGGGGGGGTAGGAAGGGTGTACAGTACTGGCCCTGTGTTGCAGACAAGGAACACTGTCTGTAGAAGGTCATTCAGATGAACAGCAGAGGAACCGGGCCTGAAATCTGGATGTTTGTTCCAGGTCTAGTGT